AGGAATGCCTTTCACTTGGTTCCACCAAATCATTAATTTCCAAAACGCAGGCAAGACAAGATTGAATCATCAAGCAAGAAAACTTTTCTATACTTAAAACCGGCAAAGTTTCTCAGTGGGACGCAGGATATTCAAAGACAAATCACTATAATGTTGTGATGCCTCATGTCTAGATAATATATACTTGGTATTTTTAAAGAGGTTTTTATAGCCTTAGCACAGTTGGACTTAAGATGTAATAGCTAAGGCACCTGGCTTCACAGTTGGAGGAATAAAGAAAAGTTAAAGCAGTTCAAAAGTTCTCTAAAACCGTTTTTCTCTCAATGGTGGGGCAGACAGGTCGTGGAGATGTAGAAAGGTTTTGCCAGCCCTTGCAAGAACTCTGCCGTAGCTTTGCAGCTCGAGTCATCTGGCGTCCCAGGGAGTCACGTTAACATGGCAACAAAACTCCTAGAATCTCACACTGCCTTTTTACATAAAAACCATTCTGAATCCTTATTTTAACAATTTACCTATTTATACCACGGTTTAAAGTTATTCATGCCACAACATTGATTTTGCATCTTTAAAACACTGAACACACGTGAATGGCACAAGGCAGTCCATAGAAAGCGTCGTTCCAGTTTTATTTTGGGTAAAGCAAGTGGTTTCATTTATTTAAGACGTTGATGTATCAAAAAGCAATATGCCTAAAACATTGCTAGGGAAAAAAAAAATAAATTAAAAACCTCTGCAACTGGAGAGATCACTCTTTTGTAAAAGTCAAAGATGACATAGTCTCCTTGATCACTGGGTTAGTAAACATGTCCTGAGCAACATTTATCTTTGCCAAATTGTGTTATGAGGAACGCAGGTAAGACAGCCCACTACAGCAAAACCACTTGATGACAACTCCGAAAGAAGCAGCACTACCTACAAAAATAAAAGGAAAAACGTTTTTCCTTTCCATTTAAGGATCTCATCTTCTGAGGTTCTTCCTTGTGAATTATAATCTTGAAATGTACAGAAATCATTGAAGAAGAATACCAACTGCAGACACAGGTAAAATTGTATTGCAAGTCTAATATTTTACCACAAATTATAACAAATTGCGTAACAGCCACCACAGTCAAAGGTCACGCACAGATCACAAAGAGCACGGTGGTCTACTGCACTCTTGCTTCTGAGATTCAGACCTAATAATTCATTTGTACTGGAATCAAGGTTTCCACGCATGTGACTTGGGGTCATTTATTTTTTCATAAATCATTGTTGGCCAGTAAGAAAATGAAAATGAAATCCTCCTCACACCAGTGACCCCCTTGCATCTGGCAATCTCAGCTGCCCAATGACAGTCACATCCAGGTTCCGTGGACGTAGATGAAATCAATAGGTATGCGATTAGACAGCAGACTGACTATGGGGCGAGTGCGGACAGGTCACCATTTGAGATGATGAATAGCTCTCTATCATCCTACAGTCCCCTACGATGCTAACATTTACTATAATCTTATTTGGGCTGCGATTTATCTTTCTTTTGCCTGATCAATAAAGATGAACACAACAGTTGTAAGGATCGATTGCAATTTTTTATCATTTTCAAGCATGAAGGAGCATTTCTGACACAAAAACAATATTCTGAGTGTACTTGTTCTACTTTTTAATTGCAGTTCAAGTGATCAACTGAGCTGCTATATATGCCAAGAAGTTTTAATCCTACAGTAGACTCAAGCTATCAAGAAATCATTTGTTATCTTAGATAACGTGTGCTGTGTTTCTTGGATCAGATCTTCCTTTGAAATTCACTCAGGTTCTCTTTTAGAGATATATTCTCTATAATCCAAAGATGAAGTTTCATTTTAGAAGTCTTCCCTAATCCTCAAGATAAAGAATGCAGTGGCCATTTCTCTAAATGCAGCAAAAAATGGTGCTACAACGTAGCACTGTTAACATAAATAATTTCCTCAGTCTCTAGATAAATACATATATGTATTTCTATTGTGTATATAGTCTGCATATTCAGGTACTATTCAACACAAAGTGGAGGAAAAAAGCTACGGTCCAATTCTCAAGTTAGCAGCAGTGGCAGACCACGAGTTCCAGCTGATATTCCAAATGCAGCTGGTTTCTCCCCAGAGTGTGTCCAGGTGGGGAGGAACGGAGGGAAGGGAACGGAAATGCAATACCACCCACCATTCTGCACCAAGCACCGTGTAAGTACAAAGCTCAGCTATGTTTCTTACATTCCATATACATACTCTCTATATATTCTTGGATTCTTTTAACTAAATAAGCCACTAAAATGGTAGCAAAAACTACAACGCAGTTCCCTTGTCTCTTTGATTTAAGGTCCCTTGGGCACATGCATTACAAAATGGTCTTCGCTTACAGAGTTACACAGCATCCTCCATTCCTTGAAGTCTTCTCCGATGCTAAATAACAAAAAGATGGCTTTCTCTAGATCTTTATGGTCTCCTTTGTTGCAAGAAGCATGAAAGTGCAGGAAGCGTGATATGAAACATGCTAGGAACTTATCCAAGAGGGAACAGAAGTGTCAGGGTTATGGCAATTAATCATCAACCCAGATTATGTAGAAGATGCTTTTTCTGTATTTGTTATGGAGTTCTTGCATGATGTGGACATGTTGTTTGACTTCAATACCCAAATTAAGTGGCAAATTTGGTTCTCCCTGACTAAACTTTAGCTTCTTCAATGTCTAGTTTCTGGTCTAAACTGATCATTGAGGTGTGCTCCAGAATCACAGAGGTTGCTGGATAGCAGATCTCACCCACCTCACAGAGTATTCAGAATGACATTAATTAATCGCTGCTGACTCAATGGGGGCCTGAATAACTAACTCAAAATAGGTGATTCACTTTAAAGCTGATAAAGTTGGGGGAAATTAACCCACTTGTGTGCATGCTCCTCATTTGCCGTCTGCTTGACTGAAGAAACACTGTCCAGCTTTGTAATAAAAGTTGATCTACCGGGCTGGACCAAATACTCATCCAGCTCAGGACTCTGGCAAGTATTAACAGCACACGCGTAGGATAAAGAGCAAAACAGGCACACGGTGATGCTGGGTCATCCTCCAGCACATAAAATGACTAAAATCTAGTCCTAGGGTTACAACCCAAACTGCACCATCACTGTCAACAGGGGACAAACCCGGAATGCCAGATTGGAACAGCTGAACAAAGCCGTCATCAGTAAGTGAGAGTCCTCTTTCCAACACACAAAATAACAGAAAAAGCTAACTATTCCAAGCCATCATGCCTTACCTACAAAAGGTACTTGTGATCATTAGTCACCTTGCTTTCTCCACACATAAAGAACTCTAGCCTTAATTACCTTCCACAGGAATTAGGGAATTTATTTTCATTTCTTCAGGAATGAAATTACGGGAATGCAAATACAGAAAGGCCTATCAGAAACTAGTAATTTTTCAAAGCGTGAATGCTGTGAAATAAATAATGGATGTCGTGCACACTGAGCAGTACATTGCATAAGTAGGATCATATAGGGGAACCCCAACAATTACATGAGCAGGTATAGCAACACAGAAGAGGTCCATGTCAACTGAAGAAGCCCACTGCCTTCTATGCTGACATTTCCCAACTTGCAAGTATTTGAGTTTAGCAGTTGGTTATTCTTTCAGCAGAGAAAGCTAAAAGAAAAACAAACCAAAAAGGTGAATAGCAAGCTGGAGGAAGAGAACAAAGAAATCCACCAAATGCTAGAAATGCTGTGATATAAAATCATGACATTGAGCTTGCATTATCTAGAAAATTATGATGTTTAAGATCCTCAATCCAGTTTTCTTCTACCTGAAGTAATAAAGCAGTAGGTAGCAAGGACTTTTGTTGGCCAAGCTCTCTTACAGGTTCTGCACCTCAAGTACTGTGTTCAGTTTTGGGCCCCTCACCACAAGAAGGACATTGAGGTGCTGGAGCGTGTCCAGAGAAGGGCAACGAAGCTGGTGAAGGGTCTGGAGCACAAGTCTCATGAGGAGCGGCTGAGGGAACTGGGGGTGTTTAGCCTGGAGAAAAGGAGGCTGAGGGGAGACCTTATGGCTCTCTACAACTCCCTGAAAGGAGGTTGGAGCCAGGTGGGCATCCGTCTCTTCTCCCAAGTAACAAGCAATAGGACAAGAGGAAATGGCCTCAAGTTGTGCCAGGGGAGGTTTAGATTGGATATTAGGAAAAAGTTCTTCACCAGAAGGGTTGTCAAGCCCTGGAACAGGCTGCCCAGGGAAGTGGTGGAGTCACCATCCCTGGAGGTATTTAAAAGACACGTAGATGTGGAGCTTAGGGACATGGTTTAGTGGTGGACTTGGCAGTGCTGGGTTAACAGTCGGACTTGAT